ATCTATATTACATATATGTATGTATATGTATATGTATTATATATATATATATATATATATATATATATATATATATATATATATATATATATGTATATATACCTTTATATATCCACATACATATATTTATATATATGAAATATATATTGGTGAATATTTATAATGTGCTAAGGCACAGTAGTTTATAGACATAACATTCTGTAGAATATAAATTGTTTTGCAAGTGGACACAGAAAGTTTCTCTTTTTGTATTTTGATTAATCTTGCAAACTCTGTTGGAAGTACAGTTTTATAAAGATATCAGATTTGTAGAGGCTAGTGGAAGTAATGGAATCATATACACTTATTTTGACAATGTCTCCCGAGGTCTCATTTCCCTTTTTTGCCCGTCATTGGAACCATTCAATTGTCACTCACTCATTCTGAGAAGTGTGTGTCCCTCTACAGTAGTGTGGTTGCAGCATTTGGTTTTCATGATAGATCATACCACTTTAAATTGCAGTGTCATTTATGAAGGTCTTGCGTCATGCAGGACCTTTCTTACGGGTTAAAGAAAACAGTAATATCTTAAAGAAGCGTCAAATATTCAGAGATTATAAGTGACGATGCATTTTAAAGTGGTTGTTTCAGGTCAGGTTTTTAAAGAATATGTTGACTTCCTGTAGAATATGCGGAGAAGTTAGCTCGGGCTATCCCTTGCCCGCAAGTATTGGTCTCAGCAAGGAATTCATAATTTGATGGGCTTTCTTGTGATTCATCCTTATGTCTGTTTGTTTATTTGTTGATTTCTTAAAGGTTTTTGCTATATTTCATAATAAGGGTTAATTGCAAGTTTGTAGCCCTTACGTTTATTCTGCATAAAGAAGGAATTGTACTCGCATTTACAGCCATGGCAGTCTGCATTAGCTTCATGGCCTCCCTTCATTGCACATTCCTGAATGCGTTTAACGAGTCATTTCTTAAAGAAAGAGAAAAACAGAGATGGAAAGTCAAAAAAAAAAAAAAAAAAGGAAAATGTAACAGTCCCATCAGCTTATGAACTCCTATTGAAGAACCTGATCTATTATGTAAGATGCGAGCCAACCTTTCCTTCTCACTATAGTGCACTCCTTTGTTTATGCTCACAATGAGACTGCTGGGGGATTACCTAAGAAAAGCAGCAAAAAGAAGACGGCAGAGAGCGGCGGACAGGTATGTTAATCATCGTACCTGTGCTTACCTTTATCATTCATCATATTCATTTATTTATCATCCTTTTTTATCACATAAGTTTTTATTGTTATTCATGTGGATATTTATTTGCACAAACATTTTTGTTGTTTATTTATTTATTTTTCTACAATTCTCTTTTGAATTTTGGTCTTTCTCACTCTTTCTTGCTCACTCTTGTGTCTCTTTGTTTCTTCTCTTTCATTTCATTTCATTCTTTCTTTTGTTACCTTTCATTTGCTATCTCTTTCTCTCCTTCATTCATTAACTTAATTGTACTCTTCCTCTTTGCTCTGTTCCTTTTCTCTACCCATTTCTTTTTCTTTTCTTTTTTTCTCTCTCTTTCTCTCCTCTTTTTTCTTTCCATGTTTACTCGTTCTTTTTCTCTCCCTCTCACTTTCCTCTCCCTTTCACCTTTTTTCTCTTTCTTTCACCTTTCTTTCTGTTTAGCCTCTCTCTTTCTCTTTCTCTTTAACCTCTCTCTCTCTTTCTTGCTCCCCCCCTCCTTTCTTTCTCCCCTCACCCCTTATTCTCTTCTTCTGTCCGCCACTTCTCTTGCTTACCATACATCTAACCCTCCTCTCCTTCCTCACTTTTCCTTCTCCTTTTTACCCTTACAACCTTTTATTTATTAATTGATTTTTTTTTTTTTTTTTTCACTTTTTATCATTTATATGTTGTCATTTGCTAAAAATGTTATTTTTTTTGAGCTGAAGTGTTGTGTGTCTTTGTGCCATATACGTGCAGGAGTTTCTCATGAGAATGTGTAATTGTTATTATTCTGAATTATTAGAGTATTAATGGTATCAGCAGTTTTAGTAGTAGTAGTAGTAATAGTAGTAGTAGTAGTGGTAGTGGTAGTTAGTAGCAAATCTGGAGTAGTAGCTAATAATAGGAGTAGTTATGTAGTGCCATTGTGACAGTAATAGTTTTGTAAGTTACAGTAAGATGCCAGTTATTATTTTTCTTTTCTTAGTATTGGTACATTTTGTTGTAGTATGCATGTGAAATCCTAATTTCATGTTGGTATATTGTAGTACTTTCATATTTTTATGTTCTTAGTTTTTCCCCCTTTTTTTGATGTCACCCCATTTTTAATCATTTATTTAACCGAGTTTCTTTTTGCATTTGTATCTGCTGTGTATTTTTTTTTTTTTTTTTTTTTTTTTTTCCCAGTTGTCTGAAGAAAAACATTTCGTAACTGCAATTATTTCGAGCATTGTATTAAGAAAGTATATTGCATCTGTTATACAGGCAAACACACACACACACACACACACACACACACACACACACACACACACACACACACACACACACACACACACACACACACACACAACACACACACATACATTATATGTATGTATATATATATTATATAATATATATATTATATATATATTATGTATGTATGTATGTATGTATGTATGTATATGTGTATATATATATATATATATATATATATATACTATATAATATATATATATATACTATATATATACTATATATAATATACATATATATAATATATATATATTTATATTTAATATATATTATATATATGTATATATATATATTATTATATAAATAGTTTATATAATATATATATATATATATTTATTACATAATATACATATATATTGTATTCATATTTATACATATATATATATATATAGTTTACTATATTATACTATATATATAGGTTGATAGTATATATAATATAAATTTATATATACGTATGTGTATATATTGTATGTATATACGTATGTATGTTATTACTATACGATGTATGTACTGCTATCGTATGTATAATATTATATTTCGTGTATATATCATCTAATATATATTATATATATATATGATATTATATATATATCATGCACATCACCACACAATGGCACATCACCATATACCACTATATAGCTTATATATTATACTAACCTATCATATATCGTATATACTCACGTATAATACATACTATACTATATAGTTATATACTACCCCATACCTACACACCACACACACACACACACAGTTGTGCACACACCGCCACACAACACACAGATCTATATTTCGACACACACAGTCAATTGCAGCACATCCTGTTGTTTGGTTCACCACACACACACACGCACACACACACACACACGACAGCACATATGTAATATACAGTTGATAGTATATATATTAATTATATATATTAGTTATATATTAGTATATATATAGCTAATATATAGTTTATTTATTTATTTTTATTTACTATACCTAGACCACTAGTTTATACTTTATAGATATCACCATCATTTCTCCTCGGTCTCTCTCTCGTCTCTCTACTCGCTCTCCTCCTCTTCGCTCTCCTTCTCTGCCGCTCTGCTCTTCTCTCTCTTCCTCTTCTGCTCTCTCTCTCGTCTCTCTCTCTCTCTATATAATATTAGTATATACTATACGTATACTATTATTAGTATACCTAGTATGATATACTGATAGCACACATATGACTAGTCAGTTGTATCCTATACTATATATATAATTCACTATATTATACATAACATATATATACATAGCATACATGTATATATACATACATATGTTAACGTAACATAAATATATACCACACACCATATATACATACTATATATGACATACATAGATGTATATATAGGCATACATACGTATAACATAAATACTAGTCAGCATATATATAGTATATAGTTATTATATATATATATATATATATATTACTATATATATATAGATACGTAAGGATATTCACTATATTATATTCATATATATACTATACGTATCCATATATCATACTACCATATCACTATACACTATAGATTTATATATTATATATACTAGTATGATATTACTACTATATTATATATATTTTATTTATATTTATATATACTTATTTTACTATGTATACGTACCTTCATAGTACGTATAGTATATATATAATATATATATATTATAGTAGTATATATACATACATACCTCATATCATATACCATATATATATATATACTGTATGTATTATATATAGCATATAATATAATAATGTAGTATACTAATTATAGTACTATAGTATATATTATATTATTACATATATTATATATATCACATAGTATATATATCTTTGTATATTATTAATGTAGCTATATATAGTACATATATATCATATATATTTTATATGTATATAATATTAAACTATGTAGTAGTATATTGTAAGTATATATTATTATATACTGTATAACATTATATAGTATTATATGATAATATATTATATATTTATGATTGAGTATACATATATACTATATATGATATATAGATATATATATATTATTATAGTGGTTAGTGAATACAATTAGATTAAATCAAGTATTACTATTTATAAATTAGTTGATTACTGTATATTATATTTATAATATATATATATGATATATGATATATTTATATGTATGATATATGAATATATATATAGTATATCTTATATTGAATATACTTATATTATTTATATATGTAAGTTATGAATGTAATATATACCTAGGTATATCATAGTATATATATGTTATATATATTTATAGTATATTATGATTATATATATAGTATTGTATAGTACAGTATAACATATAAATATATAGTATCGAATGGTATAGTATTATCATTTAAGTTATATTATATATATAATATATTTATATAGTATAATATATGGTATTTTATAGTGTGATATTTATATGTAATATATATATAGAGGAATATTATATATATATAGTATTTGTTATGTATTATATTATTGTAATTAATGTAGTATAATTATGTACGTAGTAGTTCCTATAGTGATGTTAATGTATATACTATAATATGTATATAGTATATACAGTATAGTATATAACATATATATATATATATAATTATATTATATGTATTATATAGGTATCTAGTATATAATTATATAGATATATATATATATATATGTATATGTATATATATACCTATATATATATATATGTATATATAATATATATATATATATATATATATATTACACACACACTCATAGATATATATATATATATATTATATATATATATATATATAATATATAATATATATATAAATATACACACACACATCATATACATATATATATATATATATATATATATATATATATATATATATATATATATATATATAATAATATTATTTATGAATGTGTTAATACATTTTATTTGTTTATATTTTAGATTGATTTTTATATATTATTTTGCAAGTGAATCTTTCTATTTCTTTCTCAATTTTTATAAGATTTTATTTCATTCCATTTAATTCCATTAAAAAAAAGAAGAAAAATTGGAAGGTTATTTAGTCCTGCGCACCAGAAACCTTCTCCCCTCCGACCCTTTTCTCTGGGCTCGCTCAACAGACAACCTCACTCCAGGAACCTCCCAAGATCCAAAAGTTTGGCTTCGAAAAGCAGTTCGGGATTTGTACCCACGTCTGAAATCTCATTACCTTTTCCGTCTTGTGCTCCGTAGTTGGTATTTTTTGAATGACTGATTGGTAGTAGACAGATAGGCTGGTGTGTGTGAGACTGAACTATTCACCAGTGGCCCGAATAGAGAGATGGATGGGAATATCCACCAGTGTACTTTATAGAAAGATAGTTCAGGATTACGTTGATGAGGCGTTGTGTCACCATATAGTGGAGTGCAGGGAAAGTCTTTGGAAGTGAGGGACTTCCCATAAATTGAAAGAAAGGAAAGAAAAAAGAAAGAAACAATTCATAATTCTGTTTAGGTACTATGGTAAAAAAAGTAGTGCTGTGAAAGATGTAAGTGAAAATGAAAATGTACTATTAACTCACAAGACAAGAAGGCCCGCCCATCTGCAGACCCCTTGAGGGCATCGCTTCCTGCTTTAGAGTCAGCAGGTATTGTCAGTGAAGGAATATTGCTTGAAAGATTCTACCAGTAAGAAACATGCTTGTGAATGCATCTGTCATGAGTGGAACTACCTAAGTTTGCTACAGGAAAGTGCATAAACAAAAAAGCAAATGAAAAAATGCTACAAATAATAAGAATAGCTATTTCTTTTTCAATTATTTTCAAAAGGAGTGGTTACAAGGCATTGTAAACTGAGATGCTTACATACACTGTGTGATGCTTGGCAAAGATTAGTTTTTGTATTTTCTTTCAAAGTTTCTTGTTATTTTCCAGTTTTAATCAGTGAATCATTGTGATTCTCAGTAAACAGCTTAATGATTAGGACTGAATCAAAGAAAAAAAGGTAGAACAGAGTACAGTTCAGATTACACAAAGTCTCTTACAGAAGAGTTTGTAATAGTCTGTAGTATGCAGCTAAAGTGCACCAGAAGAATCAGAGAATTTTATGACATTGTTATTGGCAAGTAATATATGATGGTATTTTACTATGTAGTCATAAGATACTCTTTTGTAAAGAAGAACCAACTACCATAAGACTGGTGCCTGTCATTTTAAGGAACTTGTAACCACACCTTCGTACCCATGCTTTAGCACAAGTATGGCAATTGTATACATAATATAGTTAAAAGATATTGAAGAAAGAGACATCAACAACATCACTATTTGCTCCTCAGTCTCTTTATATAAGTGCAGAATCTTGTTGTCATTTTAGTATTTTTGCACGCACAGCATCTTGCTTCACATAATCAGCTAATCAGACCACAGCATGAATCCTTCAGTATGTAAACCATATAAGAAAAAATAGATGTGCCTAAAATATAAATAAATTATATAATTTTTTTTATATATAAGACGTAAAGGAAGTGAGGTTAAGAAAAAAAAGATCTGCAAAAAGCTACATTGAATTCAATAATGATTATGCTTTTACCATTATTAACCATGTTTATTTCTGATGCATTTTAAAGAGTCGGAGATCTGGATCTGTGAGGTTGTCTGAATTCAGAGGGTGAGTACTTAGATCCCTGAAGGAAGGAGGATTCAGATACAAAAAAAAAAAGCAAAAAAACAATAAATAACTAACATGACTTTGATAACTTGCTGATGTGACAGCAAATATTTGTGCCTGATTTTTAATGATTTAAGGGGACCCTCTTTATTTTTATTATCATCTTCAGTATGATTTTTTTTCTTTTCTGTTCTTTTCTGACTTATGTTTTCATTCTCTTTTTTTTATTCTTCAGATCTCATTTCTTGAATATTTTAAAAATTAGATGATTAGGAGCTACATATATATATATATATATGTGTGTGTGTGTGTGTGTGTGTTGTGTGTTTGTGT